AAAAAAAAACGTATGAGTAGAATTCGTCACTCAGGTAGGACAAAAGGTGTGACTCATTACAGATAGTATCAAAAATTGTGAATACGAATGCGATTTATTGGAGTAATTAGTTGAAGTTTATCACTTAATAAATATTTATTACTAAAAGAAAATGTTCACACCTATCAATGAGTCAGGAATAAAAAATCGCCGCTCTGAAGATAGAATCTATTCATAATGCCGAAAGTATATAACCAGCGGAAGGTGATAAAGCTGGTATGAAACTAAAAAGAAAATAAAAATATCACTAGTTTGGAAGATATAACGGATGCCTTTACTGTGAAAAAATTCATATCTACTTATTCCATAGTAGTATCTCTTTTTTTTTGTAAATCAATAAAATTTAAAGAAGTTTAATGCCTTCATACACGGCATTGAATCAGGTAAATACAATTTTGCCCGGCTTTGGTTCGTAAATCAGTCCAAATTTCATCAAGATTTCTTAAAAATCCTGATCGGAGTCCTCTACGGGCGATCGCCAAATATTTGCGTTGCTCCCTAAATCGAAAAGACCAAATCTCCCTAAATTCGCAAAGATCCACACCAATTTAAGTTGTTACTTTCAAGCTAGCAATTGCTTTTTTGGTCATTTTGAGAGTGTTTACTTTAATATGTCTGCAGAGAAGAAGCAGACACGCGAAAGCGGTGTCATGGTCCAAACTTCGTAGAAAGTACTGAAAACTTCTAATTAGGGATTTGAAAATTCGAAAAAAGAGGCTTGGTATGAAATTCATGTCGTACAAAATGGATTCGGGAGGCAAGTTTACACGTCAAAATTACTGTGGATGGCACAACGCCGAAGTCGGTTTGTTTTCAAACCTAACTTGATAACTGGTTACGAAAATGAGTAAAAAAAAAACAAATGTGTGTGGTGACAATTATGTTTAACTTAATCTTAATCTTAATCTTAATTGTAACCTTAACTCTTAATCTAAATCTTAATTTACATTTTAATCTTAAGTTTAATCTGAAACTCAATCTTAATTTTAATCTTATTCTTAGTTTTTTTCTTAATCTTAGTCATAATCCTTATTTTAATCCTAATCTTAATCTTAACCTTAATCTCAATCTTAATCTGAATCTTAATTTTAAACTTAATATTAATCTCAGTCTTAATTTAAATCTTAGTCTTAATCTTAATCTTAACCTTAATCTTAATCTTAATCTTAATCTTAACATTGCTCTATATCTTTTTCTCATTCCAAATCCTAAACTCAGTCTTTATACTAATAATAATCTTAATCTACTTATGAAGGAGTCTGACAGTCTGCAGGCTGTGTAAGATATTGAGGCCGATTCTGAACAGGAACTCCCTGGGAGTTTTCTCTCCTATCCCCTTCCTCCTATTATGAATAAAAATTCCCTGCGGATTTTTTTATATTAAATGGCATATTTGAGCTGTCAAAAAAGTATCAAACAGCTCTTGCGAAGTTTGAATTTTCTCCTTCCAAATTCTCGGGAAAATGCTACTTCCTGGGAGTTAATTATTGGAGGATTTCTTTCTCGGGAGAAACAAATTCCCGGAAAACAAATGCCCTGGAAGTATTCAGAATTGGACAGATTTAGACTGATCAAAAGTAACCCGGCTTTTATTGTGTGTCTCACAAAATCTAATGAATATTATTCTACTTACGTCGGTTTTGAAGTCTTAATGCACTCTCTCTTGCAAACCAATTTTCGAATAGCAGATTAATTCTTGACGCACGCAGAAAAGCTAAGGCAGCTAGCACGACGGAAGAAACCATCCGACTAAACCGATAAATCGTATGATGTGTGTTGACTGGTGAGGGAATCGTTCCGCCATTCTATGTCGCTCTATACCTTGGCAGCGGACACCAGTGTCGGAGAGAAGTTGAAGGAATTCATCCACCACTATGTTTCACAGAAGAGGGGATAAAATCCCGCCCTGAGGGCAGCCCTTTTTTGTTTGTAATTGTAACACGTTGTGACCTACCTCTGTCTCAGCAATATTTGAACGCAGCAGCGCATCCAGCCAATTGTAGATCCCAGCTCAACTGCTCACTGATCAAATGCTCAAAAAGCGATTATTTACTCATATAGCCAGGTAGCACTCCTAGCTATGTCATCTACTCAAACAAAGCAGCTACGCTCGGTGACTTAGTCAATGCCCATCTTTATTGCCTGGGCTCACGACCATGGGAACATAGAAAGCAATAAGAGAGCAGATGAGTTGGCCAAGACGGGAGTTTCTTCGGAAGGGCCAGTAGCGGTGGTACTGGGTTACAAACAGAAATCCATCTGCACTTTCTTAAAATAGCAAGGAAAAGGTGGTCATAGATGTTGTGTAAGATTTGGCCTGACAAGCGCAGTAATAGTACAGTTGAGCTGCTAAATAGGGTAATGGCCGCTAGGAAGAAATGTAGAATGGAAACGAAATATGCCAAAGATGCGGGCTAAAGGAGAGCGAGCAACAGTATTTAATTTCCTGTGCGAATGCGTAGGTCTGACTAGATTAAAATAAACAACTTTCGGAAACACATAATGAATCAGCTGCCAGATTTTTCTAATATTAAATACAAAAACAGATATGCACAAATTCTTAAGCGGCTCAAAGTCGTTTTTTTTTTTACTGTAAAATTGTTTGAAAGGTAGGCTAAGGTACGAGTAGAGGAAAATTGTTCAGGAGAAGTGCAGCAAAATAGCGCTCTTATGCGCTTATTGATTCCTGAGAGGCAACTTGTGAGGCACTACAATCAATCAACCAATTTAGGGGGTAAAAGCAGTTTCACGGAATTTCTAAGATTCGACATCGTAGTAGAAAAATTGTTTAAGCAATTGTAAGCCATCTCTTGCTGAGCAACTTGAGAAAATTTATCTCATATTGTAGTATGAGTAAGTGGTGGACAAAAGCAGCGCTGAAAAACGAAATTCAAAAAACAATAAAGTAAAAATCACCATGTAGCAAAAATTATGTAAACTAATGCAATCTAAAAAAAAGTATGTACAAAACCAAAACATTGAGCTTTGCAAAAATTGCGCAAAAAGATAGGCAAAAAAAAAAAAATAAAGCACGGAAATGCACTCGAAACACTTCCGTTTTCGATGTTGCTTTCTGCACTTGTATACAGTACGCCAAGTTACAACTTTAAAAAATGTTTTCTTTACTACAACTGGGAATTTTTTGCTTTTCCGCACCAGTGAGCGATTGCAAGTTTTTGAAAAACAAGAAACTAAAATGTCATCGGCGTAAATTCCCTCAGCTGTGGCGCGAGCAGTCAGTGGCCTTCTTTTTACTCGCTAACAAACAACTCCCGTTGACCATTTCACAACCGCCCTCGCTGGCATTCAACTTTGATTCACTTTCGGATTGCAAGTTTTTCCAAAACTTTCTCTTTCGCAATTTTTCATTTTTTATTCTACATTTTCTCAACGCATTCTCTATACATTTTCCGTTCTTATTCACCCACAGAGCTCATCCGTTATGGAGGCAGCCTACTCTTGCCACTGGTATGATGGCTCCGAGGAGGCAAAGACTTTTGTGCAGATCGTTTGTCAGCAGTGCCAAAAGGCGATGTCCATATCGGGAGCGAAGTTCTTTACCGTCTCGTTGGATTTGTTTGCATCGGTATGTATGTATATAAGTAAATATGTGAATAAATCTATGTATAAATAGCATGTGCATGCCACTGTTATTGTTGAATGTATTTGTTCTCATTGCGGTTGCTGAGTGTAGAGCAACCACCCACCGGTGCATTTATTGTTGCATTGAATTTGTGGTTGTTTGCTGTGGTTGCTGCTGCAGCAAAGTGTCGCCAAGTGGCCACAAATTTGCCCACATACACAAACTCACACTCACACATAGCTACGATATTTTTACTTGCTGGCGTGCGAGCTTTTTACAGGTCCTATCCTGCCGCTGGCTTGTTTGTCGCCGAACAAAGTGGCCATTTACCATTTGCACACGAAATATGCGACATTTATCTTCAATGGCATTTTGTTTTTTTACATCTATTTTTGTATTTTACTTGCATTTTGCAGCATCTCTTCCGTTTCGATTCGAATCAACATTTTAAATCACTAACAGCATCGCCACTTTTCTTCTTCCTTTCAAAGGTTCTTGGCGCTGTTGTCACCTATTTCATGGTGCTGGTACAATTGAAATGAAGCAGTGAAGTTTGTGGCATAAACAATATCACCGACAAGCCTAACAAATCATATCATTTAACAAAAACAACAACAATAAAAGAGAGCGATGAAGAAGGGCAGTTGCAGAAGGGTGTGCCAGCGAGCCAGAAGCGAGCCAGCGTTAGCAGTCGCCTGGAAAATCGGCGCAATATGTGGTGGACTCGTTCACGCTGTGTAGCCGTTCCTCCAACAACAAAACACAACAGGAGAACTGTATACGACGTTGGCGAGAGACTAGAAGCCAAATTTAAAATTTGTTTCTTTCTTTTTTATTTCTCCCAAGAATAAATGCAGCAGGAAATGGGTCCTTCTTTGTGCCAGCGGGAAAATTCATTTTTTACTGCAATGTGTGTTGCCTTTAGTTTGTTTACATGAGTGTAAGATATACATAAATAGAGGCCAAGTTGTTAGTGCTGGGCATTGTTGGTAACTATTATTTATGACATTTGTAAACAACTTTTCTATTTTACGTACATATCTTCTGCGGTTTGAACATAGAATGCTTCATAAGTCTGTGTGTTATTAATTCCAAATTTTATATATTTTTAAAGTCACTCAAACAATCTTGTTGTATTTTTGTGCAAAAGTGCACATACATATCGTACCGATTGCAAACATTTACCTACGCAAGCACAGCTAGCAATACTTATTAACTTTAGTGAAAAGTACAATAAAGAAAGTAGTGAGTCACTTGAAGATCAATGATTATAAAAGTTGTGTTTTGATTTAAAGAAAAAATAATCATAGTCCATTTGATTGAAATAAGCTATTTTTATAATTCGAGTATCGTAGATAAGTACAATACCTTTAACAGCTTTGCAGTTTTAATATTGGCACTGCAGTGGTAGCAAAGATTCACACATGCTTATCTTTAAAAAAAAAATGTAATTAACCAACATTTATTAGACTAACGACTCTATTTCGTATCAATGACAAATTCTTGGCACAGTGTTTTTTACGGAAAGATATATGAAAAAGTTTAAATTTGTCGGTAAAAAAATGTTTGTCACCGATACTGGATTGGGTTATTATCAAGCATGCACACACTTGAAGGAAAAAGTGGGCATAAATACATTTGTGGCAGTTTCATTGCACTACGGATGTATGTTTTTATTAATTTATAAATTTTGTATGCATTTTGGGTCATTGGAAAAAGGGACATAAATTTATTTATTTATTTATTGAAGTGAAACTTCTTTAGCGGCGGGTGCTTTGTTGCGAGTAAATTGGCAAATTCAATGGAAATTGCACACGGAAATGGTGCAATGGAAATGATGCAACAGAAATGGTGCAACGGAAATGGTTGGGGCTGAAACAAGTGCTTCTTGAGTGTATGCACATGGTATGCATTTAACAAAAACTTGCTAATAAATTGCTAATTGTGTTATTCTTTAATAACACTTAGAAAAAGGCCAATACAAGAATGAAAGTAAAGGGGGGTACGCACATAGATAAAGAAAAGGATAAAGGCAAAGGAAAAAAATAAAAACAAAAACAAAGATGCGTAAAGATAAATGCAAAAATGAGTATCAATGTAAATTTAAACACTTTACTTATATATATAAGGGGAAAAGTGAAGGGGAATATGTAGATGAAGAAAAAGATAAACACAAAGATAAATATAAAGAAAAAGATGAGGATGAGGATACCGATAAAAGTAAAGATGAAGATAGAGGAAGAAAGATTAAAATAAATGTAATTATAGAGAAATCGCTATCGCTTTTATTATCGATTTTTTTATAGAAATTTTTATCGATATTGTTATCGATTTTATTATCGATACTTTTGTCGAAGTTGCTATCGACATATTTATCGATTTTGTTATCGATACTGTAATCGATTTTGATATCGATTTTGTTATCGATATTGTTATCGGTTTTCCAATCGATTTTGCTACCAATATTATTATCGAATTTTCTATAGAAGTTTTTATCGAATTTACTATCGATTTTGTTATCGATATTTTGTTGGATGTTACTATCGATTTTGTTATCCACAGAGTGTAAAGATAAAAATTAAGATAATGGAAAACGGAATAACATATATGTATAATGTAATTAGAACGAACTGGGGTAGATAGAAAAAGGAGAAAAATTATAACCTTAAGCAAAAGCCGATGCATGTATGTATGTATATTAGTTATGAGACAAAATAGATATGTAACGTAAGTTTCACTTCTCCAGTGTGGCTCAGGCGCACATACTTTTTTAATTAATTAATTTATTTATTTATTTATTTACTTATTTATTTATTTATTTATTCATTGATTTATTGATTTATTTATTTACTAGCTTTTACCCGCGGGTTTCACTCCACGTCTTTAAACAAACGCATTTATACAAACCTTAACTTAAGTACCTACCATAGCGATGACTTCATATAAAATTTCAAATTCATGCGATGTATGTTTCCGAAGCTATATCTGAAATAAAATTCCACGCCTATGGGAGGTGCCACGCCCCCTTTTACAAACTCATTTATATAAACCGTAAGCACCTACCATAGAAATGTTTGCATACCAAATTTCAAGTTCATGTGACTTATGGTACCGAAGTTATGGCTGCTTAAAAATTCCACGCCTATCGGATGTGCCCCGCTCCTTTTTACAAACTTCTTCATATATAAATTAACATAAGCACCTACCAAATATACAATATTACAAAGTTCATATTCTTTTGAATTATGGTTTCGAAGTTATAGCTGATTAAATATTTGCAAGCCTATGGGAAGTGCCACTCCCCCTCGCAAAATTGACGACACATTTGCAAATAAAACCATACCTATAACCTTCCTGGGGTACAAATAAATAAATGTGCAAAGTTTTGTGCGATTCCGTGTCGTGGTTCAAAAGTTATAAGGTAATAAGCAAACAGACATTATCGAGATAAATTTAAGGTTAATTTAAAGTTGAAGACTAATTTTTAGTCAATCAAAGACAATTTGGCTTAAAAGAGAGAACCGAACATTATATTTTGGGCATTAAAATATTGGACAAAATAGATGTTTGATATGTTGAAAACTGCAAGTGATATGTATTTGGGTAAGTTAAAAAATTTACATAAGTTTTGGCCATTTGAAATCTAAACCTAAAATATTTGTCGTTTGAAACTATGTAAATATAAGTTGAGGATCATTTTAAACCGAGACACATATTCTTGGTCCGTTTAAAAACTAGATGGTCTTTAATGAACTGCATGTTTAATATTTAAGAATTTACTTATAAAACGGTCATAAATTTGTTTGGGCATTTGAAATCCAAATATAAACTTTTGTAATTTCAAACTGAACATAAATTTATGGTCATTTTAAACCGTGGCATACATTTTTGTCCATTTAAAAACGGACAAACATTTTTAGTCCATTTAAAAACTGGACATAAATTTATGATCATTTTAAACATGTAGATAAATTTTTATTTAATAAAGATCAATATTAACGTTGACGATGAAAATGTGAATAAAAAAATTACTTAAAGGTGAGGCCTGGACATGATTTTTTGGTCATTTAAAAATTTTAAATAAATGTTATATATTTTGGAAACTGCAAATAATATTTCGGAAAGTTGAAACATGTATGGTAGTTGGAAAATGTAACATAAATTTGTTGGTCATTTGCAACATAACCATAGTTTGTGACATTTAAAATTGGACATAAGTGAAATCGGTCACTTCAGATCGGGACATATAAATTTAATAATTATGCATTTATAATCATTTTAAAATTGTATTAAATATTTGGTTGTTCACACAAAAAAAAAACATTTTAAATTAATCTTTGATTGTTGTGGTTTTCGACAGGGAAGGTATATTATGTATTTATTTTGGAACGATTTTTCGTAACCCCTTTTCGAATCTGGCTTGGAGATAAACCGGTTTCTACATGTTGCCATTTTCGAAATTATATTTCATTCCGAAATGCATTGTAAATAAAATTCAGCCCAAGCGTATGGCTAAAATCTGGCTTTAAAGTAAAACCTGGACATATTTTTAATTACGTAATTTAAAGTTTCGAAAAAGATATTTTGTGATTTAAAAAACTGAACCTAGTTTTTTAGAATGCAGTGGAGTATGGTAATTCTTCTGAGTTAGGATATACAGATATGCAATTGGAATGTGCGGACCCTCCCTATGAAAATTGCTTGAATATAAATGAAGGATTGTCCCGTTCAATACAAAGCTGACATCACCAGTATTCCGGATAAACGTTAAATGTGACACATTACATTAAGTATGCAGCCCTAAGGTGGCTAACAGACCCACTTTGATTTTTGTTGGAGAAAACGGCCGTATATTTGAACTATCTCGCCCTATCTCTCACGAAATCTTTTTTAAGTGCAAAGTATTTAGATTAGGTTAGGTTATTCTGGCTGGCTGACCATCCCACATAGACGGATAGGTTCCTAGGATACCAGATGGAGGTAGAAAGCTAGTTAAGTATATT